ACTAACGCTTGTTCACAGTATATTATTATATTGAAAGATTGTCTTAAATAAATTCTCAAATATTTTTAATCAGTGATATAATATATATTATATTTTAATTATATATATATATATATATATATATATATATATATATATATATATATATATTTAAACATTCTCTCTCTCTCTCTCTCTTTCTCTCTCTCTCTCTCTCTCTCTCTGTGGTTTTACTTAAAAATAATTTTACTTGAAATATATATTTTAATTATTTTTCTTAGCGCGCGGCCTTGGATCGCTGGCTCAATGAAATGCATGATAGATATGGTACAATTTTCGCAAAAAATTTGGTTATGTAAACGTCAAATCTCTTGATAATGCTATTAATATAACACAATTATCATGAATAACTGACGCATATGAATTCCTTCGTTTGTTCATTCACTGATATTATCATTACTACTAATTATTTCTACTAATTTATCATTGCGATCAAATCCGTTATCGTACATTGTCAAATCCGTACCGTACATTGTCAAATCCGTTATCGTACATTGGTTATCATGGCTGATAAATAACATGTTTTTTATTTGACTCATATAAAAAATTATTAAAAGGATTAATATCATAAAAACTTACTTATTATCCTTATGTTTCTTTCTAGTAATGTTTGCTACACTAATTTTCCATTCCAGAAAATTTAGACTACTTATAATTTATGACAAAATTGTGTATGTAATTTTATACGTCGTGTTATAGTGAAAATTCAAGCATATTATTTTTTTACGCATAAACGTGTAATTTGGCTAAAGCTCTTTTTATACTTGTGGTTTTTATTTCTTGTGGTTTTTATTTCTTGTGGTTTTAAGTACGTTATTTGAAACTTAAACGTTTCAAATAATATAATTAAAACCACAAAAAATATGTAAAAATTATAATTTAATATAACGTTTAAATTTAATTAAACGTTTAAATATGTTAATTGACATGACTTTAAACAATAAGAAACATATAAATAAAAATAGATTTAACTTTGGCTATTTTATTTTTTAAACACACTTGTATTTAGTGTATCTAAAGAATATTAATTAACAAAATATAAATTAACTATTACACACGAACCTCCGCCAATCATTTTTAATTAACAACTCAAAAATCTACGTCGTTTTTATACAAAATGGTATGACTTTTCTGTTCAGTTTGATTTAATCAAACATACGATTTGTAATCCCTGGTACAGCTTATCTAAGACGTATCGCGCGCGTGATAATTTACCAATCTTCTTTAATTGATAATTCAAAATCTTATGATTATTTGCAAAATAGTAGAGGAATTTTCTGTTCAATTTGAGCAAATTTACATGTATACGAGATATAGAACACTTCGCGTCAAACACATTGTATAAGTACTTTTTACCCAATTAACATCCTTTTTGATCTTTTACAGAGAAATCAGTAAATCAAGACGTTGTTTTTGCTATAGCGACTGTAATAATCTATGCACTGTCATCAATATAAGTGATATTTCGGTGTGAAAGTTGATCTGAGATTAATTTGCCAAGATAATTGCTATTTGATTGCCACTGAGGTTAATTTGCCACTTCATTATAAGAGTGAACTCTAAAGTAAAGTCTCACCTGGATAATCGTCATAATTAACAGACACGCGCGTCTCGCGCTAAGTGCGTCTTTTTTGTTAATCTCAATTTTATTTTACTCTAATTTTTATATGGTTATCAATAAAAAAATCAGTAGTTACTATATATATAAAAATGTTATTTATATATATATATATATATATAAATGTATTACTGTACATTTAATTACTTAAAATTACTTATTAACAACACTTTTCTTATAAAACTATACTCCTTTTTATTAAAATATTAATTACAATAATTATTTAGTATAGTAATCTTTGCTATAAATTTCCTGAAACATAACACATAATAAATAATGCAACTTAACATTTTAAGAACATAATGGCATAATCCTGTTATACCTCAAAATGTATAAGTTTGGACTATGTAGACGAAACATTATAGATAGTCGATATTTGCGCAGACATTTAATTAAAATAACGAACAAAGATGATCTAATAATATTAATATATATACGGTAATAAGAAGAAGATCTTGTGCAAATGTACCAAACAAATTGTAACGTAGTTGCGGAGAAAGCAGTAAACGCAACTGCGTTACAATTTGTTAAACATTTTGTAGCATCTCTCAGCTAAAAATGAAAATGAACTGATAACATATGCAGTAAGAGACATCTAACAATAATAATTGCAAAAAATTTTATTATATGACAACATCTCTATAAAAGATACTATTACTACAGTAGCGTGTAAAAGTTTTTAGCCAAACTATTTTTAAAAAATTTTTTAAAGATATAAGATAATGAATTACTCTTAATATTAATTATGTTAAATACTTGAAATAAGAATCATATATGTGGCGGATCGATATAGATTCACACATGCATGGCGCGGCGCCGTTAGCCGAGCCGCCGCAACCGCGAGAGCCTCCGCGCGACAC